TTAATAAATGGGGGAAGCGATTATATATATTTATATATGCGCCGCATTATATTTTCAAATATTCAGAATATAAAACTAAATTATGATCTCGAGATATAGATATTTGAAATAATATTATATATTGGGAATTATATTTAAAAAAATGGATAAGTCTATATCTGGTAGTATGGACCTTTGTATTTATCATCTGAATCGGATTCAAAAATCAGAATTATTCTAAATAATGAATATTGAAAATAGAATCTTAATTCAAATCATAAATTTTAAAATAAAATATTGATTGATATAAAATATTAAATTCTTAGAAGGAGACGCTATATTTTTAAGATCCGAATTTTTTTGAAATTCGATTTCTGAAAATAATGGCTTAGATTTCTGCTCATTTTGCTGAAAAATTGTGCTCCTGGCCAGACCTGCTTTGGAAAGAATAGAATAAATATATATGATATTCTAATTATTGATTTTCTTATATACTTTATATTTGATAATCTCAAGCTATATATTTGATCTAGCTATATTAAAAATATCCATTTTCTATTATTTAAATCACCGGAAATAAATGAAATATATAGCTTTAATTCAGCCGCACAATCAATCTATAAAAAATAACCGCGTATATATTCTCAATAATTAGATTTAATCTAATAAGTTTGAATATCAATTTTTTTTCAGTATCATAGATATGAAAAAAATAAAATATTCGATTAAATTAATATCTTATTTTCAAAAAAATAAGAGAATTTTCATTCTAAATAAAGAATATTTTATTAAATAATATTTTTATTTTTAGAAATTAGAATAAAATTAAATTCTGAATTCAAGCATCGAAAATTTGATTAATTTATTTTCATTATTATTAAATCGAAAATATCTTAATTTATTATGATATTATTTATCGAATTAACTACTACCTTATAGAATTATAAAAAAATAACATTTATAATTTCAATAATCAAATTTAATAAATATGAAATAGAATATAAAATATTTTAAATCAAAATAATTTTCGGACACAAAAAAATTTCTCGTGGATTTTCCGATCTAAATAAAGAATTCTATAGACGATTATATTAAAAAAGAATTTTCCGTAATAGTCGTAATAATAATATGAATAATAAGAATAAGAATAGTAATCATCATAATAATATTTATAGTAGTAATAATAATAATATTTTATTTTTCCCATTATCTTATTTTCTTTTTCTCCTAATTTCTTTCTCCTTTTTTTCTTGGATAGTCTTTTTTTATATCTTCTATTCTTCAGCTTTATTTTTTTTCTATAGCAAAGAATTTTTTTTTATATTATCGAATTTTTTTATATGCACATGCAAAAATTTATTAAATTTCTAAATCAAAATTTCAATAATTATTCTTATTAAATCATAGAATTTTTGATAATGAAATAAATATATTAGCTAGCAAGCGTATTATTCTCTCAAACCTAAGAGAATTTTGAATTTTGAATATTAAAAAGAATAGCTTCGTATATTCCGAAAATAGATATTTAGAATGACAAAAAAATCAATATCAAATATTCTAATTCTATCTTGCTCCAATAAATTTGCAAGCACAATTTAACCGATAGAAATAATAAATATCACTAGATAGAATTTGAGACTATCTTTAAAGAAATATTATATTTTATGTGCACGTATTGCACGCGCACGAATCTAAAGAAAGAGAGTGGAATTATGCCGCTACATAATATATAGATTTTTCCATATATGCGATTTTCGCCTACGAGAAAATTCCTGAAAGGATGCCAATCTCTAATCGACCCAGAACCAGAACAGGATTTACATTATCAACCTGCCCCGCGATATTTGCCACCTGGAAGGAAATGTGCCGTCTTTCTGCTTTTCACGAGCTTCACAGGAATGCCCCGCTGCTGGCAGGAGCTGCAGTAGAAGGTGCAGGGCGCCTGTTCGACAATGATCAACAACCTCTGCGTTAACCCGGAAATGTAGACAGTCTGAAAACTCAGGCTGGACATAGTGGAAGAAGCTGCTCCCCAAACATCCACAGCCCTTCAACACTCTTCAACATTCATTGCAAAGCCGGTCCTATCTTCGCTGACTCTGCGAGTCTCCGGAATCCTCCTGGTCAGACACATCTCCAGTTTGAGGGGAGCACGTTCCATGACAAGAGCCACTGTTTGCACCACAGCGAAACCACACGAATGAAGCGAGGCCCATCTTATGCGCGTTAGATGCCGGAAGACGACAAAGAGGTGCTGCTCGGACAAAAAACTTCTGAAGCCCGAATCTTGCATCTCTACATCATGTCAGATGCAGTCTCGACCGGATGAAGCAGCAGATCATCCAAACTAAACACGCCGGCTTTGCCTTTGAGGGCCCTTCCTTGGCAACGCAACAGGAACCTCTTAGAGGGAAGCGTCCATGGGAGCATTCTTGGAACACTCTTGTGGAGCATCTTCGTCATTGTCAGTCTCATCCTCATCCACAGAACAACTCTAAGGACAAGCCTCGCCAGTTTCGCTCTCATCACCAACGTTTCCATTGGCACAGACATCACCAACGAGAGGCCATCGTTGAGAAGATGATTGCAGCCCGGGCTGAGGCCGCAGCTTTACACGTCCACCGAACACACCATACTTCAAGCCAAGACAAATGCTACAGTAAAGGGAACATGTGTGCTTGTTGTAATCCCAGCGCTGGTTCACGCTCTTAGTCTCCCGTCGGAAGGCATGTCGACCAGAAGCCTTCGTCGTGCCAGTTGGGTGCTTGTACCAGTCGTCAGTCTTGGCTACGCATGGGCTGGGGCCTGGCCTAGCAACCCGTCTTCCTGAACAAACACCCGCGGGGTGCATCCAAGCAGTCACCAAGCAAAAGGAGGTCTCCGTTGCGCAAGCTGATCCAAGAAGAGAAATACTTCCCATGTTGTCATTGAAGCGGTAGCAGATGAGCACGCTTGGAAGGAAGAACTCAGAGATTCGAAGGAGAACTAAGGAAGGTTGACGTGGCGAGCTGCAAGAATGGCAGGCAGTTTCAGCTGAAATCAGAACACGAATTCAAGCAATCCTACGAACTCGCGGCCGCAAAAGAACCCATCACAGAACGGCTGCAGAATCAGCAGCACCAATATTGACAGAAAAAACAACGCCTACATGTACAAACACCTACAGATCCTCATGCAGAAGGCGGCTTTCCTCCGGAAAATTTGGATGCCACTCCGTTTGTCGGCATGCCACTGTCATGTGCTGATGATGTCCATTTGTACGCAGTCACTGCGCCAGTGCCCAAGTACAAATGGCAACTTGAACGAACATGATGACAGGAGCTATCAGCACGGGGTATGATGACCACTTCACAGCGGCACGAAAAGTACCCAAAGGCTCCAACCATCCTATACTTGGTTAAAAGGCCTCGACAGGTCCGACTCTTAAAACACGTGCGCCAAGCAGTGATCTCAAGAGTTATTCGATGCATGATCGTAAGCGGCAACGAGCCAGCACCAACCGTGAAACTATGAATGCCATAGTCACGACGTGATGTCACAAATACACCAGTTTTTCCGTTCGTTCAATCGCATGGCATAGTGCTTTCAGTCTGTGGTAGAGTGCATGTTGAACCATACGGCCTTCACCACAACTGCATCCCGAGGCTTCGACACGAAATCTGCCAGCTGCAGGGCGACAAACAGGGTGGACTCATCATCGTGAGTCTGGCAAAGCTCAATCGTTGCAGGCCTGCCTAGGGCCTAGGGTTGAGCACAATGTGTCTCCCTCGTGCAATGCGAGATCATGCGAGCCTCAAATCGGCAGACTTCTCAAGAGAGCTGCAGGCTGGGACCCGACATCTACGTGCAGAAAGCAGTTCGCAACAGCTCCGACAACGTAACTCCCCGTGTGTTGCTTGCAACACTTCTCTCCCTCTACACGCATGCACTCCGACCCGACATTAATTCAATTTGCGACTCCGGACATACAGACTTCAGTGGCAGGACAGAGGGCATTCGGGAACTCGACGACATCTGCATGCGGGGGCCTTGTTTTCCAGGTGAAGCTCGAGCATGACCCTCTGCCCCTTGTACAGCTCTTTGACCTGGCCAGGGCCGGTGTTAAAGCAGAAGTGCCTTGACCCCGGTCCCGTCAACCAGACATGCCAGCAGGTCGTGATGCTTCAGTGGAAGCTCGGCGCGACAGATGAAGTCGTGATCCTCTCCAAGGTTCGGAAAGCTCGGCCAACGGCTACATAAACGCTCGATGGAGTCACTTTCTGCAAAATGCGCAAAGTGTCCCAACCGCACGGCCAAGACACAGGATCTTCTTTCGAGCGAATCTCCGCCCGGCAATGGGTATGCCAGCGAAACATAGCGAAACCCGGGTGGCCTAGCCTCGCCGCCTGTGAGGTCGTAGTCCCACACAGAAAAGATGATCACCTCGTCCAGCGTGGGAGACGTTGACAGATGTGATCCGGGCGCGTCCCGTCCTCCCCTACTTCGAGTCAGGGGGAAGGCAGCGATACCATTTGGAAACAAGAAGTAATAAGGTATAACTGAACAGATGAACTAGTGAAACGAAACAGATATGTGACGAGATAAGCGGCTTCATAAGTCGCTGCACATGAGTGCACATGTGTATGTGCGCCACAAGTATACAATTTCATATAGATGACTGTCTGCATGCGCATGGACGTCTGTGTTTGCATTTAGCACATATACATGTCTAGTAGACATGCAGCTTACATACTGCACCAAAACCTAGAGCATGGTCAACAACGTTTACTCACAGCCCAACCCTTGAAGAACATTGTCTTAGCACCTCAGTGCCCATGATGAAGAACTCGAACTGCTCGTTCCACTCGGGATCGGTGAAGCTGACCTGGCATCTTGATTCATGAAACCAGGCCAAGCCAAGCTTGATGCAGCATACACTCATGTAAATCGGTGCGTAACAGTAACAAGCCTGCATGAGACTCCTGGCTGCAAGCCCATTTCAAATGGACATTGGTGAATGCCAGCATGAATGCCAAATTTCTATCCCGATGTGCCATGAAGCCTTATCGCTCGATGTCCTGGCAGCCCATGTCACAACACAAACTGACGTCAGCGAACCCCCATGTAACATCGAAGTGGAACATGCATGCGCTAAGCCCAACACGACGTACTGGGTCTCTTGCACCTCTTGTCCAACACGCACCTCCCGAAGCGATCACAAGTCGACCGTCAAATGGACTAACAAGCATGTCTCAAAGTACCTGCAGATCCCAGGTTGAAGGTGTGTGGGGAAGGAAGGCTAAAACATGTGGCAGCTATTCGGCGGCTAAGTGCTGCCTTCACGAAGGGATCCAAACTGTGGAGGAACATGCCGGCTTGAAGGCCTGTAGCTCTCAGGACCTTGGTCGCATGCTTCAAGCAGTATGAGCACTACTACAGCCAAGGGCATCTGCAGAACCCGTGAGGCCGTCTTGCAATGCTTGACGTTTTTTTGTTCAGATGCCGACCGTGAATCTGTGATGTCAAGGGAGAGTTGCGTATATTGCGAAGCACCCTGCAACAAACGCCTGAATGTATCACATACACCACGGAGGGAAAAACGGAGAGGAAGAGCGAGAGACGCAAACAGTGAAAAGCCGAGCCTCCCTATGCGTCTGACAATATGCAGCTATGAAAACATACGAAATGCGTGCCTATGTGATCAAACGTATGTGTCATATGCACGTACCTGCATTATCGCTTTTTCACTGCCTGTTTCTGTACACAGACTCCACCCCTACGCCACAGAAGCATGTCTGCTAGAGTAGTCGAACAGGAATGCTGGAGCCCAGGCTTCGATGATGACCTTCTTCCCCTTTGCCTGCGCAACACTCGAAATATTCGTACTGCAGCGTGCTGTGGCCAGACAGGATCGTCATGCAAACCAGTCTTACAATCAAAACGTATAAACCCAAGGTTCCTGAAGGGACAGTGTGACGGAAATGCAAAGCAACGTGAGGAGTGCCGGCTACGGCTGTGGCGTCACCTGCATGCTCCGGCTTGCTTGAACGGCAGCTGTTAGGCCAGCCAGCCTTGGGATGCAAGTCTGCAGGACATGACTGAGGTGCAGCATGATGCCTTCCCTTCAATCTTCCTTCTCGCTCCCATGCTTCAGTTTCACGGCACTTCGCACATCGCGCTTAGAGGGGAGCCAGGAGAAGACAGGCGAGGGAAAGTACCACTGATGATCATGTTCAGCTCGACTCTGTCTCTGGCCCAGCAAAAACGAACTCTTGTTCAATCTCAGTCTCTCGCCCGAGTCACTTCCCACACACGAGACTAGAATTGCGTAAACTGAGATGCCCTCAAAACTGAAAAATCCAATTCACAGCACGTAATTGAAACCCTCCTCCTCCAGAGTCCAATTGGCCGAAGTGAAAGAACATTAATGCGCAATCTTGTTGACTGAGAGCACAAAGGAGCTGATACTCGTGTGATACTCTAGTACTCTGCCTGATCACGAACTGGCCTTCTTGGTGCTACGAATACAGGGTGTTACTCCGCACTGACGCCAGCGACTGCTGAGCACGGATTACATCCTTTTTTTTGGGGGGGTCGTTTTTGCGAGATGAACATGCACGAACCATGGGTCAATTGCAGCCCCAGCAGCTTCGAGCCCTCCGGATCCACCTCGGGCGCAGCCTGTACAAAAAAAGAACCCCAGGATGTGAAGTCCACGCGGGGCTCCCAGAAAGGTGCCCAGGGCCTCTCGCCATCCTGCTGGCTTCTGCCACTCGGCAGGCGCAAGCATGGAGCCAGGGTTCGAGCCTCGGCCCAAAAATGGAACTCGAGTCTGGTTGGAAAGCTTGTCTGTCGCGGCTCTCTAGTCAATGTGGCCTTGTGTGAAAGCAGCATATGACAGGCCAGAATCTCCGGAGCAGGCTTGAACGAAAGCACCCGGCAAGGCATCGGCGTCGAGGCCCGAGCTCCGCCAATGCTCAGCGGTACGCTGCAGATAGCGCGCCAGCGCTTCAGCACCGACCTCCGAGCGTTTGGATGGCACCTAAAGCACACTTGTATGGCCATGTGCAGATGCGTACAGAAAATGCAGATGTTGGTCTAGATCTAGGTGCATGGGCAAGTAGGTACACATCGAGCATCTAGTTTCACATTGACATATTGCCTACTAATAGATTGCGGAACTCAGCTCCGTGAGTAATGCCCACGTTCCTCGCGAGCCATCTCGAAGGGCGCACGCTGCTTCTGGTCCACCAAAGCAGGGCAAGCCTGTCACGAGGATGCAACAAAAGAGCAGAGCGTCGACATGTGGACGAATTGGACGACTTCCCCCCGGTTGCTGCATGCCGGACAGCCGCAGAGTGAAAAAATCGCCAGACGATTGGTGCATGCACACGTTGAAGTCTTGGACAACACGGTCTGGATGCTCGTGCCTGGGCCTCCAATAAAGACATGACGACGTCCTGTGGTGCAGCCGTAAACAGGTGAGCAACGAGGCCTAGTGGCCTAGTGCATCTTACCAGACTTTATCTTAACCCTCTCGGGGCTGAGCCCTTCCGAAGAAAAGGCATGAGCAGTGGACTTGTTTCATCTGGGCAAGAGGCAGAGTGGCCGCCAGCAGCCGCATACATCAGCGCAGTACCTCGACTGTTGGCAGGGTGCATGAGCGCGTCATGCAAGAAACAAGTCGTCTGTTATACATGGCTTCGCACAGTTGCAGGTGCTGGCTTGACGTGCCATCGAGGCTCTTCTCATACTTGGCGGAGGGTCGCGCCAGTCCACCTGTCAGTGCAGAGGACTTGAAGGCGGGACGCGGGACAGCCTGGACAAGTGTGTCGCAGCACCGGCTGAGCGTGCAAAACAGAGCTGCCATCTCCGAACTCGCCTCGCCATGTCCAAGCCAACGAGTGGTGCCTGTATGTGGTCGGTCTATCATCTCAACATTGACAATGGCTGCTTCCAGGGAGTTGGATAATTGCATGGTCAAGTCCAGCTGCTGTCGGCACTGCATTTCATGGGCACATTACAGGATTGCAGATTCTGTTCGGTGCCCCAACTCCCCAAAACTGCCTTGCACACTGCCATTCGCTGCGGCAAGGCACAACCTTGCACTTTGCAAAACTTTGACCCAAGATGCTCCTTGGGATTTGACATGCCTGATATGACTGGCAGGGCATGCTGCGCCCCCTCTGAACCGAGGTCTCCACGCCCATTCCTCGAAGTGCGGGTTGCGCTCAGTCGTAGCGCCATGCTGCCTGCAGTTCTGAAGATCTCGTGGCTCGGGTGCTCCACTTGCATGAGACGGAAACAGGCCAGCCCGAAGCCTTTCGCTGTGGACACTGTAGAGGGAAGGCGTGACGCGCTTGTCTGATCAAAAAACCTATAGACACTATAGGCATATCTCCAGGCCATTCTTTCCCATGCTACAGAACAAAGATCACCTGGAACTTATGGCTCGACGATGTTCCATGGCGCGCCTGAGCACATCGGTGACACCGTGGTGCAGCAACGCCTCCAGAAGATGAGTGACAGATTGCCACATGTGTCGCATGTCCAGCTCACAGCACAAGAAAAAGCTCATGTCACGTGAACAATCGTTGATTTGCACAAACGGGAAACGCGTAGCTGGGCACTGATGCCGCTTACAGACAAGACGAGTTTAAACCAAGTTCGCGTATGGCCACCGGATCTGTCGAGATCGATGATCAACCCCGCCTCCGACAGTTCAAGCGCAGTCCTCACAGTCAGACTTTGGTCCGTGGTGCCATGTTTTGGAGAGGCAGGGAGTCTGTTGAAGTACATGGTCTGCATTCCCTTCTCCTGCGCGATCGTGGATCTAGTCGATTGAGGTCTGCTCTAGCGATCGCTAAAGCCTCCTTGGCAGCAACTGGGTTTGTCACTTTGGCCATGGCTCAAACACTCCCTTAATGCCAAGTCAATGATTGGATCCAGTTGGACCCGGTACACAGCACACTTCATGTGAAATTCATAAAGCACGTTGCAACGCCAATCTTTTGGACGCGCTTGCTCGCTTTCAACAGCCAAGTCGAGCTTTATTCACCTAAGCCCTCCATGATGTCCACTATGCCACCCCCCCCCCCCCCAATCCGAAGAACGGAAGGGAGCAGGAGAAAGCAACTATGCGAGGCCATAAGCTTTGAAAGCTGTCACGGCTTCTCGTGCGGCATCTTCAACAGCAGCCTCAGCATACCAGAGTAAGGACAACAAATCCCAGCGGCCGGCATGCGGAAGTCCGACAAAAGACTCCCGGTGTCTCCTCACACCCCTGTTGCCTGCTGCGATAAATGCTGCACGAACCCTCACGGCAGCGCTTTCTGAACACAAAGACGTGACAAGCCAAGGCCAAAAGCAATCGGGACGCTCCGTCTGTTCGCTGCCAGTCCCCGACAAATTCCATCGGCAAAGATTCCGGCAGAATCTGCTGCCTCGCGAGAACCGTGATGTGGATACATCTGGATGGCACTTCGCCCTCGAGCAATACTTCACGATTGGCTTTCTTCGAGCACGGAACGACAGATAACGACAGGCATAGGCTGCCGCCAACCCCGATCAATTATGTTGCCAAGCAGCGCTCGACCCGGGAGAACCAGGGTGGCCCTGTGCTTGGCCTTCTTGACGTCCCGATTCCTCGGAGCCCGGTCCGCTGGAAAAACTGGGGATCTTAGGCCCCTGCCTCGCTCGACCGGCTACAAACAACTCTCAGTACGGTTGGGTTACAACCCGACATCTGCATGTCGACATGCCAGATATTCTGCACTCTCACAGCGCCAGACGAGTAGCTGCAGCTCGTTTGTGAGACGGGAGCACATGGAGCACCGAAGAGAGCAGAGCAGAAGCTCAGGAAAAACCTCTTCGCCCAGGAGCTCCAACTCGTAGGTGAGCTCTTCACGCGAGAAGCCCGTGAGCAAACGCGCCCTGGAGCAGCAGAGTCGCACCAAGCGTCTGCTGGGGCAAGGACAAGCAACTGCCGCTGGGAGAGAAATAATAGTTAAGTACATTACAGTGATATGTATGTATGTATGTATGTATGTATGTATATATATATATATACACACACACACCTGACTTAGGCTCAGTCTGGAAGTCGCGCGGCTCTTTCATTATAGCATCCGTCATGCAACCATAACCGCCCTGAAGCGTAAATCTTGACAGTGTGCTGCTGCATGAGAAATGCGTAGAAGGCACAGTCAGGGATCCTTCATGCGTGGGCGCTAGGCACATCTGACAAGTACAAGGCCGAACATGACAATCCCAGGAAAGAGGATGTTAATTTGCGGGGATGCCGGTATCTGAGCCGGAAAAGAAGCCCTAAGCTCAGCCACGTTGCAAAGCGCTGTTGAGAATGCTCCTTGCGGGACTGTACTCTACGAGTAGCGTCCGTACTATTGAATCTCTCTGTTTTGTATGCAGAGTGCTGCTCTCCAGCGTAAGAGATGCATGCTTGTTTTTCAGACGATCTCAGCACAAGCTTCGCTCCTGCTAGACAGAATCTGCTCGCGGGGAATAGTGTCGTCGAGGTCCTGCTGTGGACCGTTGCACTTGAAAGCATGGCAAAACACGCGAATGCCCTTGCGACACTGAAGGAACACAACTTCCGTATGTCTTGCTCATCATTATCGAGCAAGCGCACGCTGTGTACCCGAGATGCATCATCCTGTGGATCGAACTTGTCTATGAAGCCCTGCACGAAGCTCCTTAGCTGCATGTGTCACGACCTCCCCTTGCAATCAAGTTTAACGTGTCTTCCAGAAACATGCACGTTGCCATTCATAACTACCGATTCCCACTTCAATGTTGAAGCCAACCGCCGAAGGAACTGTGTACATGCTGAACTGCAGCCTGGGGTCTCTGGATAGCTGAGCGGATCTAAACCTGTCCAGGCTTCTTAGCTATCTGTGCCTCAACGCGTCTCGAGTTGTTGGACTTGTGAGCGAAGTTGATCAACCCACGGCAGTAGGCCCGAGGGCAAAGGCAAGGAGCTTCAATCACGCTCTCCCAACTCCGACTCTGCCAGACGAGGTCTCTGTGTCCAACTACGCCAAATGACTATTCTGCGAGCGGGCAATCGCTCCTTCGGTGCAATTTGGTGATGAAGCATTGCATTGGAGTGTTCCCCACCCACAGCCCTCCAAGTGATTTCACATGCCAAGGTGCTCTGGAAGTCTTTGTCTCGCACATACGTCTTCCATTGCTCTGTGCCACCCTTCTTCTGCAGATCTTTCACCTCCATAGATGGCACACGTATTCACCAAACCTCCATCACAACATGATGCAATTCACTGTAGGCTGCAAGTACTGGTTTACACTTTACACTGGTTGCCTTGCTGGCCACTTCCTCCGAGCATAGAGCCACCTGCAAATTGCCGGTTGGCACAGTACAAATTACTCCCGCAGTAGGTCTCGACGCTCAGGCCCATCAGCCCATACGCCATACCGTATTGCATCCATGTTTTCTGCAAACACTAAGTCACTAAGCTCGCAATCGCGCTTCGGGGAACTGGACCAGCAAAGCTGGAGAGTAAATGGTATAGCCAGTGATAGTCCACAGTCTGATAGCTTTTCGCCCACCTCACCGAAAGCACCCCCACGGTACCGCTCAAGGAAGTCCGTCACCACCTGGGATGTGCAAATAATGCTGCTTCTGGTCGGCTTGGTTCAAACGACGAGCCGACGCGCTGCTATCTTTGCTCGTGCGTGCAGCTGCAAGTCCACTCTTTCATGACAAAAAAAACATTCGTACATGAGCGAATTCCAGGTCTGGCAAACGTCTCAGGGGGCTGTCCATTGGATGCGCAATCCAGGCTTCTCGTATTTCTGTATCTTGCACTGTGTCCGACCTGACCATTTACCTGCTGCTGCTCTCTGCACAGCGCTGTACCTTTCTACCTGCATGTCTCGCTCGCATGTCTGTGGACTTGAGGAGTCAAGCCAGAATGGACACACACCCCGCATCAGGCCACCACGATTGCAACGTAATTCAGTAACAGTTATCAGTAACAAGAGCATAGTTGCACAAAACAGCTCAGACAAGCAGACAAGCAGTGCTCCGCACAAGTGACCGCTCAATGCAGCGAGCATTAGCGACAGTGCCCGCGCGTGCTCAGCCGTGCTCAAACGTGATGCCCCCATCGTAGCCCTTCCAACTACCAGAAGGTTTCGTTTCAGAAACATACGTCAGCCGACCCCTGAATCCTTTTTGGCTGCGCCCTTCAGGTGAGTCGGCTGGTGCTGGAGGGCACAAACCAAACTCGGACCAATACGTGTGGAGTTTCTGTACTTCTGCAGTCAACTTGCATGCATCTTCACTCTACCTCCCGCCTTGCACCTACGGTTTCTGGTGCCAACAACTCCAGTGCAGTAGCTGAGCTCTGGACCGCAGATGGCAAGTTGTGTGGATTTCGGATGCTGAAACAGTTCCGCTCGCAGTAGTTGGCCTGCCGAATTTGGGCTGCAGCCAGAGGCTCATGACAGGGCTGAAGAGCCAGCATGCTAGCCACATGGCTGTTGCTACTGCGGAAGCTAACATAGGTGTGGTTCCTTCTTGCCGGGCAGTAGGCAAAAAAAACTTCTGTCCGAGGAGCCCAATGCCATTGCGCCAAAGGGCTCATGCGCTCCTCGTTCAACTCCTTGCGATAAAGCAAGGTCGAAGGTCAAAGGACTCCGGTTGGGAGCTGTTCGCTGTAAGATGCCGAGACAGAGGTCGGGCAGCAATGCGCATCCAACTCAAATCTCCAAAAGCACCTGGAGCTGTCATAGAGATCACAATCAGCTCAGGGGCCGTGATCAGGTCTTTGGAGGCCCATTCCACCGCAGCATGGGCACCCACGAAGGTGGCGAGGAACTGCGCTGCAAGCTGCACCTCGTGTCGGCACATGCGGAGCTGTCAATGCGGATGTTCCACTTGACGATAGGACTTCGGTGAGCACCAGATCTCAACTTCAGGTAGAGGCCGACCGGAGGACCGACGACGTCTTTTGCAGAATTCAGCCTAGAGTCTGGAACGTCAATCAAGTCGGCAGTTCGCTGCCCTTTCCTTGATCTGACAAGTCCGTCGAAACAAATTTCCAAGATGTGGCAGAGATAATACCAAAGCTTTGTGAGTCAGAATCCGGAAACGCATCCCGGCATTCGGCCCGATACAGAACAGATCTCAACAAAAGCGTTTCACATCAATGTGCTGGATCACCTTCGCCCCAGGGCAGGGACGATGATTGTGGTAGGCTCAAACATTCACATCCTTCCAATAGCCAAGCAGACCTCGGCTGTCTCGCCAAGAGGCTCCGTGCAGAACATCTGCCAAAGCCAGACGGCACCATTCTTGTTCAGCAGCAGCTTTCCTCAATGGAAGCTGCACTGGCACCCCGAAGCTACACATGTCTGACGCACCGAAGCCATCAGACGGAACAGTTCGTGGAACTCGAATGAAAAATATCCTTTCAACACGTCGCAAAGTCTTCAACAACTCATGGCACTTAGACTGCGGCTTAGATTTTCTAGTGAATCACGAATTGCAGATCAGGGAAACAGACATTGAACAAGAAGCTACCAACATCACCCAAGCCACGAACCGAGCGCTTCTCTTTTACAAGCTCCTGACATGAACATCATGCATCTCGGGCGAGAGCAACGCAGAATTCCCAGCGCATTTGCGCAGGCTTCTGAATGGGCTTGCTGTGCTTATCCTTTGAGCTGTCCAGTCCTTCTCTGTAATCTGTCGTCTGGACTCCAGCTTCGGGCAAGCATGGCGCTGTACCCACCCGCCATCTCTGGCAGCCTTGAGATCAGCTGAGAATCAGGTCGATTCAGCCCTCTTCTCCAATGCCCTATGCGGCAGAGTTCTCTAGACTCCACTAGACTTCTCTGACACGGCTACACCGATCACTGGACTGCTCAACAGGAGCTATAAACCAGCTAAGCGGACCCATAGATGCAGATCGATGCTATCAAACAAGCCTGTGCAACCGCATAACACGTTCCAACTTCATCAAGCAGCATGCGTCTGACATCGTGCCACGAAAGCCAGCCTTGGCAACTGCAGCTTTTGAGTTTTCTCTCGGCCAGCCAAGCTGGCTCTCTCATGTTCACGTCGTCTATGTACGTTCCTTTGTGCATTCTGCAAGCTCGTGTCGAGTCAGGCTACTCTCTGATCTGGCCAACCTTACAGTCTTAGATTTTTTGCCAAAGATCTGGGAAAATACCGGTCCGAGAAGCGAAGCGCCAACTGACGCGCTCAAAGCTGCCAACAAACCTGAAAAGCACATTTCGCAAACCAGCTGAGATGGCTGACATCAGCCCCAGCTCGCAGACGGCCAAACAAAAAGTTTGTTTGAGGACCCCCTCGGCTGCCTGCACACCGCCGTCTTTGCACCATGTCCGCGTAGGAGGTGGGGGGAGTCTAGGCAGGCTTGGGGGTGAGACTGCGAGAGTTGATCAGAAGTCTGCTGGGGGAGGTCGGGTTGCCATTGCGCTCGTGAGCTTTTGAGCTTTCTACAAATTTAATGGCATGTGCCCAATTTCAGGATCGATCCACCTGGTACGGATTAAGCACCATGTACAGACCAGTGGCTATAGGCCGGAGTTCAATCTGTGCACGCTGTTCTGGAGAGACTTCTTCATTTTTGCATATTCCCGAGTTGCATGGTCTTGCCACGATCTGAAAGCTGCAGTCACTCTGAGATTTCAGCTGCATGACGAAGTGAATGCCACCCCACCCGTGCTTCTCATGAACAGTGAGCCGAGGTTGCAAATTTGAAACGGTGATGACTAGCGAGCGCAGCGTTGATACTTGTTCTGCGCGCAAAGCAACCATGCCTTTTCTTCACGGGCGTGGCTGTTGGTATTTCCTCGTCAAGTCGAAGGCCGTATCACACGGCCGGTACTCAATACTCACATATAGTCAAACATTATAGCAATGGTCTTGGCCTCTTGTTGTGTGGGACATGCACGGTCAGGAAGTACTGCACAGCATTTCGAAGTTGAAGGGGGCAGCTGACATTCAGCAATACCAATTGAGGCCAGAGGAGGGGTTTCACTGCCGTGCAGAACGTCCATTGCATAGGCCTACCACGAACGCAATCAAACATCCCGTGTAGGAGCACGCACTTCAACTGCGAGCTGCCTTTCCACAGAAACGAGATTTGCGCAGCTTCGCGTGCTGGCCTGCTGTCAAAGCGCCCACTCACTGCTGGGAGTTTCGACCACGTGGAAGCCTTATTAAGTTTCGACATACGAAATGTTTTCCTAATTTAGCATGCGCATATGTCGGCAGAAGCAGCAGCCACAGGAACGTGTTGCGCGGGCATGGCGGCGCAGGTATGTTTCATGGAAGAAGTTACACTGCTACAGTTCCTGGCGGAGAGCCTCTCGGGCCTTGTGCCAGGGGTCTACGGGCAAAGGGGTCCACCCGCCGGACAGGTTGAGGTATAGAATGCGTGGCGAACTTTTGTCCTGCGGAAATATTAGATAATGAGAAATGACGCACAGCCGATGACCCAAAAAGGCTTGATTGGCAATGTACGGGCTGTGCCAGATGGAAGTGGGCCTCGCAGCAGCCACAACAAAGCCCCTGATATCGACAGAATCTCTTATAAACTTCTTCCAAAAACCAATGAGCTAACGTTGAAGTGCTGGGCAGTGTTGGGTGCTGCCCATCTAAGCGAGGAAGTCTCAGCCCACCAACAACTGCAAAAGAAATGCTCACAGCCTTGGGTTGCAGGAGGTTTGGACGATGCAGCTGAAGACCGCAACAGCGCCATACGCAGTAGCAGTGAAAAAGTCTGTTAGGTCGGCAACGGCGGTCCAGCGGCTGGACAAGAAAGAGTCTAAGAAATCAAGGATATGAGCGCCCGGATTGCCAGAAAGGAGCGAGCTAAACAAGTACATCAAGGTATTCAAGCGGGCCGGGCCAACTTCTCATCTAAAGCTACCGATGATGCGGGAATTCAGGGTCTTGCTGATGGTTCCTCAAGAATCGGGGCTGATAATAGATACTTCTCAGCCATCTCCCAGCAGTTGTGGCACGGTCAGCGTGGACGCGAGGATTTGCCCGGCTCACGCTCGCATCTAGGGCATCATCGGCATGCCAGGCATCATGCCTGGAAGCACATGGCAAAGCATCCGTCTTGAACTGGGGTTTCTACTAGATGGAGTTGAATTGGCTAGAATGTACCAATGGGATTTTGGCAGGGCGCCATGATGCATGAGTCGGGTGTTCTGGTCCGAGCCTGGCATGCCAGGCATGGCCATGCCTGGCAGTGGCATCGCACCAGGCAGCTTCGGCATGGTGGGGGAAAGCCTTGGCGAGTCGAATGTTGTCATTCCCTTTTGCCTGCTGCCGACCTACTGCCTGACAAGACACAGCAAACACAATGTAAGTGGAGTCGCTGGAGGTTGTGAAAGGGATTCGTCACGGAAAGGCCAAGCCATGTATAGGTTAGCACAAATTTGCAGGTTTAAGTCTGCAATGGACTGCAGTTGTGCATGTACGTTCCGGGAGATGCATGACCTGCATGAACGAACTCTTTGAGAGAAGCCGGACGAAGACACGGGTGGCCACTCGGATCAACAAATAATGTCTGTCTGTACTTTTGCTTGTTTGTTTGTGTTTCAGAGACAGGACTTTCTAACCCAGCAGCACATCCCGTCCGTCGACATTGGACATTTGCAAGTGTGGCGGAGTCGGAAAGCAGATTTGGACACTTATCTAGAGTGCCTTTGATGTTTGGATCGCTGCTTTCGGTGGGCATTCACGGGCGTGTTTGAATGGGCCAGCGCATCGTCTCAATCTGGTCTCAACGAAAGCACAGGCAAACTCAATCTAATGAGGCCGACTCAAGAGTTGGCTTGGCTTCGGGGCCGATGTTGGCATGACTCATGACAGATGACCTTGAATCCCGGATCGTGCAAAGATGCAGGCACGTACCAGACTATGCCCGCCTGTCGCTGTTAATGCCATGAGGCATGCCCGGCAGAATCCCGCCGAGTGCCGGCTTTGGCGCAGCTGCAGCAGGCAGTTTCGGCATTGGCAGCACCATGCCTGCAAATTCTTGGCAAACATCGACAGGCCTCGCAGTTAAGGGATGTGCACATGCTTGGGTCGGCCGGGCACGTGGCAAAGTCCGAGGTGACCGCTCTCGGACTACAATCTGGGCTTCGTCTTGATGCTTGCTGCTTCCATGTCTGGGGATGCTTCAGGACCGAAAGCATCGCCCTGCCACAACTTCCTGCAATCTCCCAAATTCTGAGGTGATTGAGTGATTGAGGCTCTCGAGATTGCCTGGCGGAGGGGGGTATATGGGCGGCGTGAGCCCTTTCTCGCGGATCAGCATCTGATAGAACTCAATCCTTGGAGCGAGTGTTTCAGGAGCTGCCATGCTGTCGCTAATTCATCCAAATGTTAGAAAAGCAGCGAAATCACTGAGTGCGACCTTCAGACACACGTGACTCAATGCATTTTCACTGAGAGGCTTGTTGTTGATGTGCCGTCGACCCGTCATATGCTGTCTTCGGCCCGACGTTCCCCTGTGTCCCAGGAACATGTCGCAGTACTCGCCTGGGCGGGTGGAACTGCAGTCGCTGGTGGCAATGAGCCGCTTGCTGGGGCTAGACGGCGTGGACGCTTTGGACACTAAGTCACCAAGCACTACGGAGGGTCGCTGCTTTCAGGCCGAAGCTTGAACTGGGTGCAACAATCCACTTGGCTGAAGCTTGACACACCTTCTGGCGCAACGAGTAGGGATCTTGCAGCTTATCTGGATTGTGCTGGCTGCTGCAGGACTGTCTAAGCTTGTGGTGTGCCGAACAGTGCGGCCCCGGTGCAATAGAACTTCGTCATGATCGGTGCAGTTCGAGAGGGTGAGCGCCACCCGCGTGGCTCGTCTCTTTGAGATACCCGTAGTCTACTCTGCCTTGAGCCTAAGGCTGCGAAGCGGATGCGTTCCGAGTTGCACCTGCCTTTCGCAGCAAAGGTAAGACAACTTTCAGTCTACTTCGCAGCATGTCATGAACCCGGACCACGCAACAACACTCCACAACCAGGCTCGCGGACGACTGCACTGCGGTTGTTGTTGGCCACACTGGTGAAGAGGGCCCTCCGCAGTTCCTCCCACTGGAAGGCATTTGGCCCGTTTGGCTTTAATCAGCATGCAGGAGATCCAGCGGGTCCAGGGAAGGGCAGCATTGGACACAAAAGCTCCATCAAGCCTGGACCTTCGATGGTGGTCCACCGCGCGCGCCAGTGAAGCACTGGGCGGCAAGACATGAGGATGCAGCGCAAGTCTACTTCTGTCCGCAGCAGTGCCTAAACTCGAACATTCCATGCAAATGGGTTCACGGTGGAGCTCAAGGTTGGATGACACACGAAAGCTCAATACCAATTCATGTTGACAAGAGCCCCAAAGCCATCGGACATGCCGAGGCCTACACCCAAGCCCCGAGGACAGAGGCGAGAGCTGCTTCGTGCACCTTGAATGCCCAAGCTAATCGCCACTGCAACGACTCTCTGCGGCACTCCGGAACTGGGAGAAAGCCTCTGGCCAAGGGCAACGGTGTTTTGCAGCAGGAGAGGACCGTTAACAACGCCTGCGGAATTCGGAATGGAATTTCGGGAACGGACTTACTTGCTACTGAGTGTGCCGCCAGCTGCTGAGCATGTCACTGGCATGATCCGAAAGCAAACCGAACGCCAAAGTCGAACCAAATTGACACCAGAGTCTCCTGGCGCCACTTGGGCAAGGAGGTCTGAAGCTCAGTGACAATCTCAGGAGCCTCCTTTCCACAGATGGATGGAATTTCGGAATGTAGCGAGTACTAAACGCTTCCGCTTGAACTACCTCAAGCTGCACTTTGCGGACATGCTTGAAGGACTCCTTTGCAGTGGCTAGAAGCGGGACCACTAAGTCTGCAGGCATGTGTAGCCTTTGCGGGACCTGTGCAGAAAGCAAGCGCCAACAAAGCACTTTTGTATCCGGGTCTCATCCGAGGCCCAGGCATCGAGGGCTTCGTCCAGCGCTGTCCGCTTGGAGTTGTCGGCGAGGCTCAGGTCCACTCGGGCACGGACCTTGGCAGTGGCTAAGTGGAGTCCGTGGAGGCTGTGCGAAGGATGAGCGCTTCAATGGTGCTTCTGCCCCATAAATGAGGCTAATGCGCTGGCGTGGATGAGGTCTCGCATGACCTGTCTCCAAAAAGCTGATTGAGACAAGGAATCAATGCGCTCTAACATCGCAAGCTGGCACACGATGCAGACCATGCAAGCCTAGGCATACAGTTTGGGAATAAGGCGCAGCCTCGGAAAGCATGCATGAATGCGTGACTTATGCCCAGTTGGGAGGAGCAGCCTACCTTGCAAAGGGAAACGATTCCGCTGCCATGCTTCATTGTTGCAGTGTTTTCTTCATTGTTGCAGTGTTTACAGCTTGAGTACGAAACCAGAACTTCCACAAACCCCCTCTTTCTGAACCTCTAGATTGCCGGATGCGGCAGCTCCATGAAGAGGGCTGCGACCTGTCACATGGTTTCAACGTGAAAAAAACAAAGCGTGTTCAGGAAAGTAGCAAAGGGGAGCAAACTGCATGCAACAGCATGCCTGAATCCAAGGAGATCACGGAAGGATCTGCCTGGCGAGGGCTGGAGAAGGGATTTCACATGTGCTTGGTAAGTCAGCAAATCTGGCAGTGGCAGCGATCAAAGCAAGCCTCAAGCAAACCTAGCCCTTCAATTTGATGCACTTCGCCTGTGCATGAGCCATTTTTTGCCTCCTACATGGCTGAGCGAGTCGCGAAGTAGGGAACAGATAGTTTATGTTATCGTAATCTGAATCAGGAATGCGACACACATCCAAGACGCAAGCCTTTCAAGTCCCAACACTCTGCCCAAGCGTTTCTCTTGCTCGAATTCCAGATGGGCCTTCTGCTCCAAGCATACCTTCACCACGGCGGCATTGCCCTCCTCGGCAGCGCTGAGGAGGTCGCGGCCGAGCCTTTCGTGTGAACATCCACAAGAACGGATCATACCAGTGAGTGGAGCGTGTTTTCCGGCTCGGCAGCAGGCGACATGCTTAAGAGGGCAAGTACTGGGCGAGTAGACTAAGTAGACTCCAGGCAACGGCAAGTAGATGTGATGGCGACAAGCCAAGTCCTTGAGGACTGCGACTCTTCTAGCTCGATGACAAACCCGTTTCGTGCACAGTTCCGGTGCGCTATCTCCCTCTCTCCCTCCCTTCCTAGCCCCACGAACAAGAATCATGGGGCTGAGGCTTTGCTCGCCATTTGGCGAAGCGATCCACCACAGGACTTTCTCCGGGATAGCCTCCGCTGACGGCAAACCAAAAATTATCTAGAGCAGTCACTGTCGCCAATGCTGTCGCTTTCCTGCACATTGCTTCTGCTACTAATCAATTCGGCATTCCAAGCGGAAACCGTGCAACAAGCAAAGCTTTCTGACCGGTCGTCAGCCATGTTGGACATCATGTCTCTTAGCTTTCTCTGCACCCCGCATCCCTTGTTACAGCACGAAGCCACACCCAATACAGGACAGGGTGGCCTCTCGGCGGAGGCCGAGGCCCGAGATAGACCGTGGAGCTCATGGCCCCAGCATCTCACCCAGCAAACGCACCTCAGAGGCCGGCAACTGCTTTCTGCGAAAGCAGCTGACTTAAAGCACGTTCGAGCTCGATGCCTGGGCGACGATGCCGAAGACCTGCACAGCAAAGCCAAAGTCTTCACAGCATGGCCTTCAGAACGACGGTCAGAACGATGGCGATGTGCGCAAACGCTCCTACACTGACACAGAGCCAACGGACACTTTCTGCAGCCCATGGCTCTTACTGCAAGTGGCCACTGCGCGCAGGAATTGGGAAGCTGCAGGGAGTGGGTCGGGTGATCTTTGAGAGCTTTGGCTCGGGTGAGACGAGACTGGAGGCTCAAGCTTTGGAGCCCGCGAGCTGGCCATCGATGTGTTGGGAGCACATGGGTCGAACAAGCCTTACATAAAACCATGCAGCTGAAGCACTCTGCAATCCCTAACACCTGGACTTCAAGCTGGACGGGGGGTGCGCCAACGCGGCGAGGGTGCTCCCACTCGAGACTAGTGGCGCCAGATCTTCAGAACTCGGTCTTTACCGCCTGTCGCAACCCGCGCGCCGTCCAAGCTCCAGTCCACGGCGTAGACCTGTGCTCGAACGTTCACTGAATTCAGCCCTGCGTGATTTGCAAGATTCGGCCGATTTTTTCATAGGTCTTCCAGAGCGTGATTTGACCTTGCAGGCAATTGAGTCTTGAAGTATTCGCGGAGCCTTTGTTCTTAGATGCAGAGTTCAATGTCGCATGCAAGCCGTCGGCCAAGGTTTACGCACTGTTACCTGGGCAAATTATGAGGCGGAACAGCAAAGGCTTCGGAAGGATAGTGAAAGTACTTAAATACCGCTGGTCCTCGGACTTTTCGGCCGTACTGTGACTCGGCACCTGGAGGCTTATGCCTGCAAACTCTGCGAAGCCATGGCCATGCGATGCCTCGTCTGCGTGTCCTGGCAAATCCTCCTGCAGTTTGCGCCGTCCGATATCCTTCACACGAGCCAGCAGACAAGAAATGGGACTCAATGGGACAATGGGTTTCAGGCTTGGCCCAGTCGGTAGTTTCTGGATTCTGACATGGAGCTCTTGGCTTTTTGTGCGGTTTGGCATGGACAGGCCAACATCATGTGACAGGCGTAGCATGGCCTCCCAAACTCTCAGGGGCAGAAAAACAACTCCATCGCCCGTTTGGAGTGCATCTGAGAATCCCAACACTTTGCCGTCGAATCTTTGGACACGCTGACAAGCAGTCGACTGTCGCCAGACCATGCCAGCTGGTAGACATCACCTGGGTGCGACTGCATGTCACCGCCTTGTGATTGCATGTCCTCGCTCTCAATATGTGTTTGTTTGTCGGAACCTGCTCTGTCAATCGTCAGCCTGTGAAGGCTTTCCCGAATTCCCGGCCGTTACGTATCTTGTGACTTTGCATGGTAAACCTGCTAGTGACTGCGAGCGGTCGCAGTTGTGTCGCCCTTGCATTGCTGCACGCGTTGTCTGTGTATATCACCTATCCATCTGCCCGCCGTAATTTCGCCATTTTGTCTTGTACGCCCGTGTATGGAGAGATAGACAGATAGACAGGCAGACAGATAGAGAGGCAGATACAGACAGTCACTGCACAGGCATAAACTGGGTAGATGCATTGCACAAATATGCTTTGTAGATGCAGACACGTGTAAAGAGAGAACACTATAAACACATAAAAATGAATGCATGTACATGCGAATGCATGTGTGTTTATTTTTTCGTTCGTAGGTTGTGTTCATGCAGCATGCATTTTCAAATGTGTGTATATACATATATAACCGAAGGACATATGTGTGCATTCATGTATGTATGCATATGTATGTACACACATATTATATCTATATGTAGGGTATGTACATATCTAAGTACGTACGTACACAAGTTATCATGCGTATACGTGCATATTATGTATGCATGCACATGTGCATGTGTGCGTGTAAGTGATTATGTACACTCAGATACACGCATACGTACGTACGTATGTATGTTTGTATGTATGTACGTACGTACGTACGTAGGTACGGTATGTATGTATGTATATGTATGTATGTATGACACGCACCCACGCACAGCCATGTGCGCGCAGACGGGCGGGTGTATTTTGTGAATGTTTCGCCAATCCCAGCCTGGCCTACATGGCCACGGAAGGCGTGAACGTACTTGCCGGTCCGGCCGTCCCAAAGTCTCAGGACGATTCATGGGGCCAGGATTGGGACGATGCTTGTGCTAGGGTACGGCATCTACAGCTTCAGATATTTCGACAGGTATGTCACGGTATATCCAGCATTAGGAAGGCGACTCGAATAGGTCGGGTCAGCGAACCGATGCACAGGCTTTCTAGAGTCACGTGAAGCTCTGCAGGTTGGCAAATCTCCCAAATCCCTTATCCCCAGCCGGTTTGAAATCTTGGGTGCGCCCGATTGCTATCTTGGGCGATGTAGGGCACTAACGCGAGCGGCTGAGATTTCAGCAACTCCGTATCCAAGCTGCAACATTCGGGATACCCCATGCACCCGCTGTGCTACCATATCAGAATTAAAAGCTGGCACTATGAAATCAAGTCGGTGCCTCACAGACTTGTCAAAGGACGCGGATGCAAACCATCGACCATCTGGGGAGAAAGCCACCTGGTTCCTGAGAGCTCAAGAGCCAGAGTGCGATGCAGAGGCTGAAGCGCAAGCCCGAAGTGCACTAAGGTTCCACAGAATAATCAGGGATGCTCAGCCGACATAAAGCATCAAGCCACGCTCTGAAACAATTGAGACCTGGCACACAATCTTCTGGTGCCCTGTCATCCGGCACACTGGGGTCTTGGAGACCTTGCAGGTCAGATTGCGCCGATTGCTGGCAAGGGTATGTAGGATTCCGACTGCAGTGAGCACTCAAGAGAAGCCCTTGTTTAGGTTTGGCAGAGCGGCGAGCGGCCGCCACAAGAAAAGCGTGAAGTCATCGGAGCCCGACAGCAAACGCTCGCCACCACACAGCTCCACCTGGGGCTTATAGGCTCTCACATGCAAGCAGACACGTCCCGTGAGCCAAGTTTGCAGCAAACTGCATGCCGGAATTTGCATGGAATCCCGAGCAAGCAAGGGGTGTTACAAGCCATTTGTCCATCTGTGGCGCCTCATTAGACCTGACCCTCGAAAAATACCAATAGGCACTGCGCACCTTTTTGAAACTTCCCTCCTTATGGCCGCAGATTTGTACAAGTCACGGAGCAGTGAGCAGTGATTAAGGGCCTGCCCCAGTCATGTTGTCATGTTAAGCGTCCATGGATTTGGTTGGAAACTTACGTTCTCTCTCTCTCTCTTTTCTTTCACCAGGGCTATGGTGTAGGAATTTGACTCTCTCTCTCTCTCCCTCCCCTGATATCTACTGAATCTACTGACTCAGGATCCCCTACAACCACAACCTCAAAGCTGCTAAGCTGGGCAGCAGCTTCCGCGTAGCGCTTCTTTGCCGCCTCCTTTCTGGTTTTGGCAAGTGCCAGATCGAAAGTTCACGCTCGGATGCTGGCCCTATAATGCAGACATGCAAACAGGAGAGTGCCTTCTTCTCGGACAAATCCGCGAGCTTCTGCGGCTCGTGTGAAAAGGGACCAGACCGGATGACATAGTCCTCACGAGGAGCAAAGTTGCCTTATCAAGGTTCTTGAGACTCGCAAGCAAACTCTTCTGCTCGTGCCACAGCATGTCCGTGTTCAGCGCGAGTGTGTTGATCCAGTGTCCATGGCCCTTCAGCTCATTCCTCGGCTACTAGGTCGTAGTAATGCACTTCTCTGCTGCAAATGTCATTTTTGTAGCTTAAGAATGATTACGCCGATTATGATCAAGTCAAGTGGAAATTCTACTAGATTACTATGTACGACGCGTCGACGACTTGACTCGAAGAGGGCTACGCTCTCATGCGAGCCGGGCCAAGCTTCAGCATGCCTCCATCCTTGGGATTCCAGACCTTGATTACAGTGTCCCGGCCGGCTGTGTACACAACGCCACCAATGTCAGCACGCTCGCCAGACCACTTCACCTCACGAACCCGCTTGCACTGCGACAGGCAAGTTAAAACTCCTCTCATGCCATGGTGTATCCTTACAGTCACAAGTGTGACGTTGCAAACCCCGGTCCTCTCACCTCACATTTGAAACCAGGCACTATGGATCGTCTTAAGGCAAGCCGCCTGCATGACAGGCTGGGAGTGGGAAGTCAGACTTCGAAGGCACACACCCACGCTCACGTCCCACAGGCGGACGGTGGTATCCTTGGAGCTCGTCGCAAGCCTCAGAAAGTCGGCATAGGACTGCTTTTGGGTTTGGGGCTGCCTTACGGCATTGACATCTTGAACATGAGTCTTGAGATCCAGCGCCTTCTGTCGCTTCCTTCAAATCACTTTCTGAGTTCAACCAAGGCCGGGAATCGAAGCGTTCACCGGACCAATCTCGAAGTTCTCAAATCGCAAGTTACATACGCCTAGCCATGCAGTCTAGATGTGTCTCACGATTCCCCAACCCCTCGCAGACTGTACCACTAACGGTAACATTATAGAACTACGCTGCCTGTGCTAAAAGTTCTTGTGTTGGTCCCACGTAGACAAGGCTGACCTGTCCTGTGCGTGCCAAGTATCCAAGGGAAGCTCTCGGCAACATGCAACGGCTGCCAGCAAGCGGCAGTGACCGGTTGTTGGTGGCCCTTCCTCAGACAGGCTTTCAGATGACAAAAGTGGCATTTCCACAGTTTGGGTGCCTGGGTGCTACTGTATGGCATAATACAGTATAATTTCTACTTCTGCGAAGTTCCGGGCACACACTCTCTGCATTCGGGGACACCGGTGCTCCAGCCACTGCCGTAAAGTCTCAAGGCTGCCAGGTTCTTCCCGGACTTCGCGCACCAAACGAGAACGATCTTGTCCATGCCTGCCTTGAGTCTGCACGAAGCAGGACGCTGGTCTACGCTCGAACCCATGACAAAGGAGATGTTTTCGGTCCAAGAAGCCGATGCGAGCTTGGAGCCATCAGGCGACCACGCAACGACGAGCACCCAGTTTTGATGACCTCAGATCAGCCACAAGCCATGCAATCTACAGGCGTCGACAGTACATCGAGAATCGAGGCAATATTTAATCCCATTAAGGCCAACCTGAGCCTGAGAACTCCATGCTGTTGAGAGGCCCTTGCAGGTGTGCTTGGGCAGCTCTGTGTTGAGATCCCAGAGCCTGGCTCTGTGGCAAGAACAGCTAAGGCCATGCTCTGGGCCATGCTGGGAGTCCTCACGGTGGAATCGCCAGAGCCACTGGCCAACTTCGTGGAGTCCGGAGAGAAGGATACGCAAAGCACCGCCTTTCAAAACAAAAGCTCCTGTCGAAGTGCACTCAGAGCAAGTAGGACTGTGGGGCCTCAATGTGCCCGCTGAGCGATGACGTGCAGCGGGTGATGGGCCGCACGCGAAAGACTGCCAAAGGGTAATACACGACCTCGGAGTCAGACGCTGTGAGCCCAGCGCAATGCAATATGTACTTGGAAGCTGGGCTTCTTGTCCAAGGCCTTCAAGCTCGTGCTCGAACTAGGCCTCCTGCCTTCAACACTCTCTCGGTGGACTGCTGGCCCTTTGCCAGCTTGTTGAAGGAGGCCGCAAGGTTCCTGACGGTTTCCAAGTTCAAAGGTCTGAAGCGTATACACACAAGGCATGAACGTGACTTCTGCAGCCCAGCATCGTCGTGATCTCTGATTCTTCTAGGTGGAAGCTGTAAGGCATTTCTTCCTTCACTCAGAAAGCACAGTGCCGCATGAATCGCGGCGCATGCAGTTTCCATCGTCTCCTTTTTATTGCTGATAGGTACGTATCCTTTGACGTATCCTCTCACTCCACGAGAATATCATGCACAAAGACACATACACTAAAATACAACTATGCATGGAGGGACGAAAGCAACGCCAACCAAAACAAACAAATGCGCAGTCACATTCCCACACAAGCCAAGCGAGCAAACTCAAGCAGACCTGCAGATATTTAACGTAGATATGTATATAGTTATGTATGACACACACTTAGACGGTCAAAGGCTGTGGGGGGTTGCCTCCTAGTCCCTTTCTTTTCTTTCTGCAGGGTTTGCGGGCGACTGCTCCACCCTCAGGCCATTGGCCCGCCCAACCACACAATGTGTTATGCTGGTCCCCCTCTTTCTTTCATTGGGCGTGGGGGACTGGAGGTTCCCCCCGCCTAGTGGCCCCCAATCTGTTATGGGGCTTTGAGAGGACGTGACAAGTTGTGGAACATTGATGTCGCTGGTGGTTCATGTTTGGTATGATATCCCTCTCTCTCCCTCTCTCTTTCTACCGTCTCCCTCCTTGTTACACTTGGTGTTACAATGCTGCCTGAGCCTTTAAGTACAGATAGCCTCGCGAAGATCCAGGTCTACATAGTCTGTCAGTGGACATCTGGTCTCGCGCTGCATCTCGCATCCATCTTGCCGGCTGCGGCCGGGCAGTTCACACAGTGCTAATCGTGAGCTAAGTCGCAGCATTCTCGAGCAGCTGGTTCAAAAGCCTCCGTTGCCACGTTGCACACACATGCAAGCAAGCATTTCCAGTGCGGGGAAAGTTGTGAGCTTCTACTCTTGTGTCGTCGTTGTTGTCTCCAAGAAAAAACCAATGTCCGAGACCTCTCACCGAGCCACGTGCCAAGCTGTTCCTTGGACGTGCCCAACGGCACATCCAGCTGTGGGCCAGCGGATTTCCTCAAGCTGGAGTCGAAAGGTAAGATTTCCTATTGAATATATTGCTTACCCAAAGGCTAAGCACATGCCGTAAGCATGTTGAAATACCGTTGTCGTGCTCAAGCTTCCGCTTCAACATGTAGAGAGGGCAGTGGGGTCTTAGCTGAGCCCCGTGCCCTTCCGGGTCGACGAACTCTATCAACGCTTGTCCTTAGGGTCCGCGAATTCGCAGCCCGGGGTGCATCCGCTAGCCACATTGAACCAGGAACTTCCAGCAACACTTCGATGAAAAAGGCGAGGGGCCATCTATCGCCAGAGTTGCTTGGGTGGCAGCTTTGAGTTTGGAAGCTGCCACCTTTCAAGATCGTGCGCAACTATCTATGTTGCGACATGATGACGTGGTGAGCTCGAGGCAGCACGTTGTGCAGCAAACCAGCAGAACTCGGACAAAAGCCGGGCCTCCTCCACTGCTTTTTTGTCGGCTACTCTCCTTTGATTCACGAGCAGACCCTGCAAATGCCCCTGTCGCTGAAGAACGGCAGCCAAGACGCCTCTTCTTGTTAGGCCGAGCTGACATGGGAAGCAATGGCGCACTTAGTGCCTGCCTGTATCCTCTAAACGAAACGTTAAACCTTTCGCTGTTCTGCTCCTGCTACCCTTTGGCCAGCGATATTGCGAAACAGACCTAAGCTAGAAATCCGTTGATTGCTGCGAGGCTTTCGTTGAAAAAACCTACAGCCCATGCTTCGGAGGTCAGGATCGCTCAGCGGCCACCAGTCCATCATGGGCGTGGCTCGCTGTGTGCTTGGCATCTTTTGGCAAGTACATTGGCACTCAGTCCCAGGTCCGAGTGTTGCCACTCATCCGTGGAAATCGGAAACAGGAGTTCTATACATAGTGTACACTTTTCAGCAGCGATGTTCGCATGGTTCTCCTCTGTACAAAGGAAGTTGAGACCATCTTAACACCCTGCTCAACAGTGCGGTCCGGCTCCATGCGTTTACGGAGCCATAATCGAAAAGCAATCGGCTTAAGACACGGGCATGTGGTAAGAATGTTCTTCCATACTGGTCTAATCTAAGCACTCGTTCATGGTCGCAGATTCCGTCTTGAGCCCTTACGAAAGCACGACTCGCCCAGCCGTAGCCCATGCCTCAGAACTCCAGTATGCCGCGGCCGAGCCTGAAAGACGGGGGCAACAAGCCATGTGCCTGAACACGATGAAGTCTTTGAGCTGATTTCCGCCGCTTCCGAAAACAAGATCATGTTGGGGCGAGGTTCCAGTGTCACTCGGCGACAGGAACTCTGGAAAGCAACTCATCGAAGAGATCTTCAGGCCGACGTGTCCGAGGGTTGATGTTCCTTGCGGAGCAACTATGGCTAACTATGGCGCACTCGTTGAGTGGCGTTGATCATCATGTAGGCGTACCGAATTATAAGGGCCCTCTTGCACCAGTGTACTGCCAAGCATCACAACAGTATTGCGCCGAACGATGGTGCGGGTGGGCCGAAGCTGCTGGCGTGTCTGGTTGAAGCTACTTCCTCAGTCTCACCGTGACAGCGCTGTTTCAGGCATTGTTGTGCGACGTCCGGGCATTTCAGGGCAGTGTTGGTCTGTTGCTCTGTGAACAGATTTACTGGGGAAGTTTCCAGGAAGCACCCGCGCTCGGTGCAAAATGCTGCAACAAAATGCTCTTGCAGCCAGGGCGCCAACAGGAAATGTGCGACTTTCTACCTCAATAACTCTATCTGCACTATCCCGTCTTCGAGTCTGCACAGGAAAACTTTCTTCCAGCTCAAAGCCAAGGCGCATCCGGGTCTTCTTCAGGCCACCTTTCTGCAGCTAGGGCAAAAGCAAGCTCCGCTGATGGTGGGTCGTCCTTCGAAGTGAAGACCAAGTCCTGGTCCCAGCATGCGCAAACTACAGCCGGTTCGCCGAGACGATGCACTGAACGCTGCAGCTTCTGCAGTCAGCAGCTCTTCCGCCAAGTACGACAAACAGTCCGTGAGCTCTCACAAGTTCCACAAGCGTTCGGGCAAGAGTACTTTGAATTGAAGGCTTCACTCCTGAACCTAGCAGCTCTAGCAGGACGTAGCAAGCGTATAGATGCTTTCAAGGGGGCCATGCCATAGGTCGCCTGCAGTGCTTGGCACATGGCCGGAAGGCCTTGGACTGTGATTTCCAGCAAGTGACTTTCGCAGTTCACGTCAAGTCGCCCTAAGTCGATGCGGCTGAAACGAAGCAAGGAGAAGCCTTCAATCCAAAACCGGAGCTTCTAACAGTTTCGCAGGTTGGCGCAACCTTTTCCAGCGGCAGAACCAGCTCATGCTGAATGACTGCATGACTATGCTACCGACATCTAGCGAGAGTGCCCTGCACTGCCGACAATCTGGTTGTGGCTCAAGGAGCATGCGGCACGAGCATCGGCATCCATGGGCCCTTCTGAAGCCATGAGCAGGTCAGCCTTGTGGCCTGGAAAAAGTCGCCCTGCTCTTCTGGGACTAGGGCCAGGGTGTTCCTATGCTTTCCATTCTCCACAAAGAGAAAATCAGCTATACAGGCCAAGCGACAAACCAACAACTTTGGCATCAGCCGAAACCTGACGCAGCAAAGGAGAATCACAGGCTCGAACTTGCATGCAAAGTGTACAGTCTGACTGTTGACTGTGAGGGGAATCGGTGAGGTTCCGCTTTCAAAATGAAAGCAACATAAATGAAAGGCGGTTTTGCCGAAGCTGGACCGGACGCAGGAAGCATATCCAACAGTTGACCTCTTGCCTTGACCTCATGTACTCAGCACTCAGCACCTGCTCAAGCTGCAAGCTTCGCAACTTCTTTGGGCCGACTGTCTGCCGAAGCTCCTCGATGCACCATGCGGCTTTGGGAAGGGAGTCCTGCAATGTGCGTTATGTGGGCTCATTCGCGGGAGACGACGGCGCGCATGCACTCAACAAGCAGGAGGCATGGCACTTTTCGGCTCAGTCCTGCCCTCAATGGTTTCAGTCTGCCGATGGCATGTTCTACAACAACGATAAGACTAATTAAGACAAGCACTGCCAATTTAGCATTCCATCGAGCATGCAAAGCTGAAGCCGAAGCCTCTCTAGCGCAAAAGGTCCTCCATCCGGCCCGCGTCGAAAACGAAGAGTGCAGCTGTGTGGCCGCTGTACAGGGCTGCTGACAGGGGGGTACCTCTCACCTTCAGGGCTCCGAACATGTCCGAACAATAGTGCGAGATGCTTTGGCCCCCAGCAGCAACATCACGGGTCATGCAAAACCTCGCCGCTGAGCCCACCGTGCTTCGTTTGTCCACCACTGACACAGGCAGCAGCACGTCTTCAAGCTCGGCTGCGAAGCTGTACCTCTCATTTTTCCGCGAGTTGCTTGTTTTGCAACGTGTCGAAATACGCAATGCACGCATGCCTGGTGCCACTCTCACTGCTGTTAGACAAGGCACACCGACATGTCCTTGCCCGCATCCGTTTGCTCGTGGTTTCGGTGCGCAAGCAGCCTGACCAGAGTCGAGATCCTCAGCTTCGTTACTTCTGGAACTCGACGGGTAGCTTTAGAAAGCCCAGCAGCCCACTCGCGCGCGCCCCAGTGACGATAAGGCGGTATCGGCTTTGCTTGCCTTGGTAAAATGCAATCCTTATCATGGCTGACGATGCTCGCCGGCGCATGCTGGACAACGGACTCAAAGCATCTACAGCTGCACAGCGATTAAGAAGTTGCGCAGCATACCGACATGCACTGACAATGCGTCGTGACTCGAGTCGTGACAATCGCAGAACCCTGAACGTCGACTTCATGGAGTCGGTGTTGCTGATTGCTGTCGCGCTTGGCGCATCCGCCTCCATGCCACCGTCACGAACACGGCATCTGTCTGACCTCATCTGTGTAAGGACAGCGCATGCAAACAATGCAACTGTCAGTCTGTCAATCGTCTTGCTATTTGCTTGGCTCGGTGCAGAGTCAGACGAATGCAACGGCTTCTGATGCACTCCCTCTCATGAGGTATCTGGCATAGCACCTGTTCAACCTCTGCATAGTTAACATCCGAGAAGCAGGATACCCAAGCGCTGAGCCTTGAGCATGGAAGGCGCTTTGCCCTGTAGCACCACCGAACTTCCCCTCGGCTCAGGTGCACACCCTCAAATCGCACAAACCGGCTGCTGTCCTGGATTTCTTTGATATGGCCTCAGGTCCTTGAACGAACGGTCTGTGTTCTGGAAACCATGTTTCTGCGCCAAGCTGCTTTAAGAGGTCCTGCCACAAAAGCGACGAAGAAGGAAGTGCCTGAACAGAACTGGCTAAGTCGGTGAATGGTAGCATCGCCGGAAGCTGTTGCGACGCTGCATGTGCCTCGGCCAAGCCTGCACTCGCCTGACGCAGCGACGTCAGGGAAGCTCCATTGCAGTACCTTAGAAGATGCGTCAAGCACCACCCAGGTTGCTTGAGCAGCTCAGTCTGCAAAGACCGTCTCATGAAGCCTTCGCAAGCTTCAGTCTTCGGAGGCTCGCTTCCAACAGCCGCGGTCGCGATTTCTGTTCGTGGTTACTATCGTCAAAGTATCATCAATGGCGGAAGACTGAGAAAGACTCGTTGCCTATCACCCGGCTAAGCTGGTTTCCCTGTTCAGCCTTGCGTCCCGAAAGATTTCATACACACCTCCATCTGGACAGCCCACGATCCGCACGCTTCCATCAGCTAACACCGACAGCTCAGAAAGTTTGGGTGGTATGGGACCCTGCTTAAAAACAACTGATGCGACATGCTACATGATACAGCCAAGAAGGCACTGACAACGAGTTCGAGGAACACATCCCCTAAAACTGAAACGGTCTTCAGCACTGTACTCTGAATCATCTGTGGAGGCTACATGGCAACATGCCCTGCAAGCATCTCAAAGCAACCACGTGTTGCGGAGTTCTCGCAATCTACGAAGCAAGCAGCTTCTCCCGAGTGTTTCTGCTTGTCTGAGCATCTTGACAAGTACTGACTGGAGTGCTGAAAGAGGCATCGTGGGAATCACCGTGGGCACTTGCAGCCAGGAGGCCCCAGCGCAACATTCAGGACCTGCATGTTTGCCAAGTCCTGGAGAGATGAGACAAAGCTTTGCGTGCCACCTCCTGTTGCGCATCCGACCAGCTCCTACTTTGCACTTGAAGTCCTGAAACCTGCAGCAGGCATTTGCAGAGATTGGAGCATGAGACGCAGCCATGGCTGTTTGCGTTCAGTGTCGCGACCCTGGCTTGAGCTCTGGCGGCTGCGGCTCAGCGCATGCTCTGTGCAGCTATGACACCAGCACCAAACGGAAGAGGCACACTTCCAAGAACGGCATGAACTGTTGATCAGGCACATCCAACTAACTGTAACAAAACACCCTCAGGATCTCTACCTCCACCCTACACCTCATACCACGAGGCAGCATGTACCTCGCCAAGATGCACCAAGGCTAGCGGCTAGCGGATTCCGACGCGCGTCCCTTGACTTTCTGCTGTGCGATACTTGACCTGTACAGAAAGGCGCTGCCGTTGAGCAAGCCGCCAGAGAACTCTGCCGAAGGCGAAGTTGCGGCGAGCCCTGCATTCACTGAGGAGACTTAGTAAGTCTTAGGAATATTAGGCTGAGCAGCGCAATGGCCGACCACAGCTGAACAGTGCAGCAACCTCAGCAACAACCTCGGGCTCATAAAACAGCAAAGCAGGTTGTCGGCCCCGTGCCGACATCCTGCACGGCGCAGCATTGGCCGAACTCAGGTTCGGCCCATTTTGGCAAAGGCTCCGAAGCCCCAGCATGTCCAGAATCTACAAGAATAGGGATGACCACGGATGCCCAACTGACATCCGGCATCCACTGATGCTTTCTGCCTTTTGTGCTACAGCTGCTTGAACTCACCTGGAAAGGATTGCTGCAGCTTTTCCCTCTGCGACGTGGCCTGAGGTCTACACAACACGTCTCCTACGACCTGCAACCCCTAAGCAAATGCTTGATGAAGTTCTGGGCAGCTCCTGTCTTCGTGCAAAAAAAAGATCTTGAACTCATTATGGGCCATTGGGATTCCATGGAGAGACGAGGCCGAGGTCGATCTCGAGATCAACCGGCCTCTACCAAACCCGACTAGAGGTGTCCCTTCCCGTGGCATTTCCTGCAGTCTTTGCAGAAGAAGCACTTCTCATCGCGAGCCTGCGCAACTCTCTCTCTCTAGGGCCTAGGCTCTGCAGACCACTTTACATTCCGACCACACGTGAGCTCCTCTCCTCTCTGCTCACTGCAACCACTCAAGGAATCAAGTAGCACTCGACTAATGAACGGAGCTCCGGCAAATCTGCAATTTCAGCAATCCAAAACGTCCAGATATCAGAAGCGTCAAGCACCAACGCACCCCCCCCCAAATTGATCGATGAGCTTTTGCTCGGCAGCATACAAAATAAGCAACGACGGCTTTCAAAGGGCAGTTGTTGCAGTTCACGTTCACATGCCACCATTGTATTATAGACAGTATTGACATGTAGCTCAACTAAGTATCCAAGACTTGTCCCCGCCAGCTTGTACGAGTCGACAAGACTATGACAACATCCAGCTATCCGACAGCTACATGGGCCTTGTCATGGTTCATCGAAGATTCGTGGACAAAGCCATGCCCATGGCAATGCGTGCCTGGAATTCAGCATTCGGAACCACAAAACATGTTTTGCAAGTACGGTCCGAGCTGATGTGCTGAAGGCTGCAACAACTGTGCAACCCTAATCAAGCCCAATCTGGGTCAGAAGAAGAGGCTGAGGTTCTAGCACCAGTATTACTTATCATACGCTATAGCGGCACAGAACATTTTCTGATCAGGTACTGATGCTTGCCAAGCGACACATCTGACCGTGCTTAGACCATGGTGTAGCAGCTTCGATGTGGCCCCTCCCTTTGCAGCCGGAGCAGTCCTCATGACAACAAGCGCTGCATGTCTCGGTGTGGTGTGCAAACGCAGGTTGAAGTGCGGATCTGGTGGTCTAGGTCAGCTGTGCAAACGGCTTCCACACAGGATCTCACAGGGTCCCGACAGCTGCCCGTCCTTGCAGAAGAAGCACCGACTGTTTGGCCCGGCATCGTGATTCATGCCTGGAAGCTGGGGGCTTAAGCAGCAGTTCCTGATTACCGTGATAAAGATTAAAAGCGGATGAGAAGTCCCCGAGCCAAGACACTTGAGTCGTGGAAAAAGCCCTTCCCCTCGCATTTGAAGCACTCCTGTCGCCCTCCAAAGCCAAATGTATCCATGAAGCCTCCGCCGTGGCCTTGGATGTGAGCGCGGTGAACTAGCAGTGGGCTACGGGCCTGGCGAAGAACAAGAAAAATCAGCTAATTCCAGGAGGGACCATGGTGATGGTGATGAGATCCATGGTGGTGACGTGGACTGGCACGCCCCATTCCCCTCCCTCTGCAGGCATCGCAATCCTCACAGAAGAAGCACCGCTTGTCTGGACGCTCATTGTGGTTCATCGTAGAATTGTGGCGGAAGCCGCGCCCCTCGCACTTGTAACAGTACTCGTGGTGTGAAGAATGACCGGAACCATGCATCATTGCTGCTCCCGCGACGCCGGCCAAAACGCCGGCAACGGCACCCGCCCCCAGTAGCCCTGCTCCGAATCCACCTCCACTTCCACCTCCACTCGCTGGAGCTGCACTTGCCTGCACAGGATAGGTCGGATAGGCTGGCTGTGGATATGGCTGCGCAGTTGCCGGTGCGGCATACGGCGAAGGCACAGCCACGCCCGTCACGACCGGTGTGACTGGCACTGCGACGGGTGTCGCCACGGGTGTTGCCACTGGTGCTGATGCCTGGAATGCCTGTTGCGCTTGCAGCGTGACAGGAGCACCGTGTGCTGTCACAGCTGCCGTGCCTGGGACTGGCTGGGCCATCACTGGCTGCACCACTCCTGGCTGTGCCGCGACAGCGCCCAAGGGAGAAGCCGCCAGGAAGGCGCTTAGGGCAGGAACCTGTGCCAGGCTCTGAATCTGGCCGGCAAGATAAGTGAGATAGCTTGCAAGTCCACGCAGCCTTTCCTCGTTGAAATTCCCTAGATTCAACATTTTGCGAATACCAACGGTGCCCTTAGGTGGCAGCGGAAGACGCTGCAGAGGGACACTGGCCAACAAAGCATCCAACTCAAGGAACTGGCTGTACCGCTTCTTGCAGAGCCATTCTCGTAAGTCCTCAATGACCCGGATGCTGTACCTGAGACGAGCTCTAGCAGGCGCTGGCTCACATTATCGTAAGTTCTAAGGCCCTTACCAAGCCGCTCTGTCGGCTCAAAGTCGGTGCGAATTAAGGGTCACGCAGTAGGCTCGTAATGCGAAGTTCAGAAAAGGCTCCCGTTGCATCCAGGAGACCATGTTGTCCCGTCGAACTCGGAGCTGTCCAGGATGCTAATCTGCACGACCATGGCCTGGAGCAAGTCATGGCAGCTGCATACGGCTATCCCTTATTCTGATGGGGGGCACTTCCGATCTCGGACTTCTGCAAGCGCTGCCCCTAGAATGTGGAATACAGCGGAGAACTCGACACAAGGCCTAACTCAATAAACACACTTCTTGGGAAGTTGGGACCTTGGATTGGTCCAGAGTTTGAGCACAGCCGAGCGGAAGGCTGGAGACCTGTGCTACTCGATGACTTGAGCCAAACAATCGTCCAGAAGCGACGGGAGCATGCATTGTAAAGACATTCGGAAAGCCGCTGACAGCAAGGATTCAGCGCTCGATGGTGGGCGGAATCTGCTAGGCTAGGAATGCCGGCGAACGGCTACACCCTCGAGCTCAAAGCCCTTTCTGCAGGCTCGCCCGGTTGAAGCGACAGATAGCGACAGTCACGAGCACCCTCGAGCAGCCAGCCTCTCGATACATGCGGCACAGACCATTCTCATATAAAAACCTGACACGCCCGCAGGTTCTGCTTGACCTGGTCGCTGACTGAATCCAACATTTCCTACAGCAGACTGGCCTTGTCATGCTGTGCATCCCACTTTCAGACGACAAGTATCCACGCCTCCCCGGCTCTACAATGTACGGCATGCCATGACACTATGAGGCTCAAGCGAGGCTGCAGCGCATTTGGGCCAAATGGCAACATCAGTGCACGTTGCAGAAGGATTAGCCGATTAGCCTCTTCATCGTGGCCTCGTGGGTCTGGCGTTCTTTCCACTTCCCCAAACGGTTGTGGCATTGCACCAACTCTGATCTTTCGGTGCCGCAGATGACGTCTCGGTGGCTCTCAGTCCCCGCAGCATGGCTTCGACATAGCAGGAACGTCTGTGAGCCATAGAGGCTGGATGCGCGACGAGCATTACCGGTTTGGATGCGTTTGCGCATGAGGAGCAGAACGGTTTCGTCTGCAGCTCCTGGTTCCTCAGGTACGGCCAGAAGGCCATTTCGACACCGGGATCTGCAAACATCTTAATATGGGTTTTGGCAGCACAGCGACCGGCTCGGGTCCGTATACGACATAGACATACCTTTGGGGGTGATCTGACTGGTGCAGCCGGCCGTCGGTCGTTTTACCGTCAGATCCGGATCTCGAAATTTTTGCTGCATGCCTTGCTCCGCAACTTGGCGGCTCAGCGTCTTGGGCCCGAAGATTTCCGCGAGTGTGCACCTGGAAGGCGTGGATCGTGGCTCTTGGGAAAAGTGCGAGCGGCACCTCGCAAAGTCAGCAACAGCTAGAGACAGATCATCGTGTTTTCGTCGTTCCTCTTTTTTAGTCTTGCTATCTATTGGTTTCAATGTCGAGGCTCACCTTTTGGCTCCTTGTCCCCATCATCTTCATCAACTATCATCAGCACGACACATGAAACTTACCGCTTTTACTGTTTGTACATGGTTCCTGCTCTCCATCATGTTTCTTTTAAGTGGTAATGTTGGTCATGATGCCATCGGGGCCATCTGGGTTGACATGTCAGCACTACCCGCTCTTTTTCCTCGAGCCTGCAAGTCGTTCGACAGGCGGGCTGCGGAATCTCATCCCTGCGCCAAAGGCCTAAACTATGAAGTTACCAGTTACAAGAGCTTCGTGGAATCATATGTCCAGCTTGCGACACCGTGGCCTCGATAGAACAAGTGCACTGAAGCAGTTGGAAGTATTTTGCTACCGAGATCTGAAGACTGTTGCCCTTGGCGCAGGCAGCCAAAACAGAACTGAACAGCAGCTGAGGTATGAATCTTCCGCACATGCCAAAACCGCCCCAGCCCAATCTGCACATTGTTGCCGGAAGGCACGCATTCCGCGACCTGCAAAGATGGGAGGGCTCCATCGGCGGTCATGCTATGCCTTCTCGTCCATCTGGCACTTTGGATAGTATTTCGGCCAGAAAACTGCCGGAAAGCGGCATGTGTCAGTGCCCGGCAGGAATCGCCAGCCACCAGGCACACGCTGTCATGGTTGTCGCAGAGACAGCTTGGTGCGACAGGCCGCATGGAATCAACCCTCTCACCGGGGAAGATTCGGCTATCAGTCCCCGGGCTTAACATCTGGAAATAGCAAGCAAACAACCCACTCGGGACAAACGCATCTGTCACTGCATAGTCCAGTTACCAGCCCAGGGTTCGTGAGGCATATGGGCCGCGATGGACACAGCAAGCAAGGGATGGTGGCAGCGCGGTATGAAAATTCAGGATTAGGTTGAGCTGCTGATCTGCTCGAGACCATTCGTTCTTTCTTTACCCTCGTCCGCCTGTACCGACTACAAGTACAGGTAGTTGCAAATCGGAAGCATGCTGAGGGTCGGTGATGTACGGGCATGACAATATCATGCACCTAACAGCGGCTGCAATGGCTTCGTCGCACAGCAGCTCAGCTTCAATGCAGGAAGAGTGCCGCTGCAGATATGGCCTGGTGGTCCCCAAAGCCGTCAAAAGGCCAATGCCGTACGCTTCTCGGTGTTGCCAGGACATTTCGTAGGTCTAGGCTATCAACACGCGTTACAAGCCGTGCATATCTAGTCGAAGCACAACTTTACTTGCGACATTGCATTGACCTGGGGCCCAGAGTCAAAGATTTGAGGCCAAGACCTGCAGCATACATGCTCTTCGTAGTGCATGGTTGACCTCCCTGCCTCTGCATATCTCTGCATAGATCAGCTGGCTCTCCGGTCTGCTAGATGCATCAATATAGGATCCAGCGGAACTGATGTAATCCTTCGGTTTGACTGACTATAGACTCACGTGCAGAGAAGTGTTCGCATTGGATCCTGGTTAAAGGCACCGGAGCACAACAGTCGGCCTTTATAGTACCATCAAACACTCCTTGGTCCAAGCTCTAAAAGGCACTGGCAAAGGGTGGCCCCGGCTCTCACGGCTCGGACAGCATCGCCAAGGGGGGCTAGGCGAATCTGCTTTGTTTGTCGGGAATCAGGGTTGACTAAGAAAGCGGAGTCAATATAACGACTACGAATAAACTCGTCACTTGCTAGTAGCCGCACGTCTCAAACTTCGGCGGTCCGCCGACGTTCGGCAACAACCCAGAGAGCGCCTGGGACTTTCTTCGTTCAAGGGCCTCCACTCGAACCATACTATGATGCCGCTCGTTAACGACGCTGGCACAGGTTGGAAAGGACAGGAAGACACGTGTGACAGGAACCGTGGGCAGCAACATCAGAAATGACTTTCGACGGTGTCTGACATGCTCGTAGATATGATGGACTCAGGAAATGTAGATTTCTCTGGTTGCACGCACAGAAGAATATACGCACTGACGCAACAACAAATCAAATCGAAGTACCAAATTTTCTCCGCGAAGCTACTACGAAGGGCCGATAGATGTATGTTGAGACTTAACAGCCTCAACGGAGTCCTGTTCGGCCGGAAATCAATGCTGAGACAAGGCTCTTTTGTGGACAAATGCATCCTCTGTGCATCAGCTACCTGGGGCAAGTCTTGCAATGAACATGCATCTGCAAACATGGCCTCGGCAGCAATGGGAGACTTGTGGCAGGAAGCCGCATCTGCAGAGATGGAAACCGTGGCTGCAGATACAATCCTGAAGCCCCTCGTCCAAAACCTTTCGAAGCGAGATACCCGCCGCATTTGGAGCAATGACACTCGCCCCGTGCGGATCACCTGACAAGTGCACGTTGACAGTTGGGCCTGCCGAGCAAAGGAAGACATCTGCCCATTCTAAACGCCGGCGCCTGCTCTTGCTCAGCACTTAGATTCTTGATCTTCGCCACGCCTGCGCATGGCTTGACACCCTGGAGATCTGAAACTGAATGCAGCAGACATTGAGGCAAACGCTCTGTATCGTTATCGGGAAAAGCTGGAAGCGTCAAGAAAGCTATGACAGCAACCCTGGCGCCTGGGAACATCCTGAGAACCAGCCTCTGCCGAAGGGAACAATACCTCAGCCGGATACCGTACGTCATGGACTGTCGAGGTGGGGAGGCTATGGCAAGTTACATCTCACGTCAATGCAAGGAGTGCAAGACCAAAGTGGACGAAGCAAAGGGTGGATGCTCGTCCAAGCTACCGCAGGAGGGCCTCGATGCAGTTGTTAAAAGCATCCTCAAGAGCAGCAATCCCCTCCACCTCAGCTGATGAGTCACGGGGCCTGACGCCTGATAGGGGAGGCTGGGCTCCGCTTCTCAATCTGCAACCAAAAAGACCGATTCGTGTCTCCATTCGCGGAGACAGTAGGCTCGTACCTTAGTTTCCCAAGGCATAAACAGAAGGCCTGCGGCCCAACATCGCGCAACGACGCTGGTCCTTTCAGCTCACACCCGGATCGGGTTCAAGCTCTGCTCCAGCCACTGGATTTCAGATCTGCATCAGTCAAGGGCGTAGATCCGCGCTTACCCATGGTGAAGTTGTATTTGCTAGGAGATTATAAAGCGTTGCAAGGGGCTGACTGCTCGTTTTCCAGGCTGTCGAGGAAGTCGCGATGGTTTGCCGGCATGCACACCTTCCAAGGAGAGGCGGACTTGACTGCTCACAAGACAAACTGCATGACTCGCGTCATTTCTGACATCAGCAAACAAATAACACCACATAGGACGCAGGAGGCGCAAGAAAGTGTACAACTCTTCGACCTTCTGCTCATCAGGCGGTCTCGTGCGCTGGCATGCTTGGAAAGCCCCACTCGTGCAGAACAGCAAATAGGATTTGGTCTGTTTGCCAAGCCGCTCGCCCCTGCTGCTGCCAATGTTCCTGCAGTGGGCCCGAGATTCCATCCAGCTTACCTGCGGTGGAGGTCGATTAAGGCCCTGCTGTACACTGTAGATGCTACAAGTACCTGCAGTCTGTCCACACGCTGCAGAAAAACTTCCCGCACCACTCCACTTCGACGGATTTCGTGCTTGCAAGGCCAGTGTTATTTGCAGCTTTGCCGAGGGTCGGCCGGCGCATCATCACAAGCTGACTCAATCTTGAATCATGTTGATGTAGCTTGGCACTGAAGCCAAGCCACGCAGCCCAAGAATTGCGTGTAGGGCCGGTAGCAAGGGCGAAGATCCTTCCGTATAAATCCATACCTCAGGAGATTGCGAGAGCCAGACCACGGTGCCATGTCCTCCAGTCAGAAGTAACATCTGAATCAACTGGGCGACTGCGAATTCTGTGTCGGCCAAATTCGGACTGACGAAAGGCCGCAATCGTTGCCTGAGATTCAAGGTCACCCTCATCGACATGCAGGGTCGCATGCAGGTTTGCCCTCTGTGTTTCGAATCTGCTTCTCAGCATGCTAACAAATGTACAGAACGCACCAATGTTCAGACCTATGAGTCTGCATTTTGGCTGCCGTGCAAGTGTAACCGCAGGATTACTGTTTCTGATTTTGGCCCAAGCTGCATCATGATAGCTTCTCCGCGCGAGTCTTTGTTGTCAAATTGATTCCGCTGGAACTCCTGGAGAAACATTTCTCAGACGGATGCACGACTGCAGCAACTGGCCCAGTGTCTCGATTACACCAGAACTGCCCTCAATTCCTGCATGTAAGTGTGACAATGCACATCCGACCGGAATCTATACATAACATTTCATCGAGCATCACTAAGACAGTCGATGTCACTCGCGAGCTGGCAGAGCGAACCAACAATCTCACCTGGGCTGCGATGTGTCGAGACTCGAGCCTTTCTTCGCCTGTGATTTGCTCGGGGGCTGATGTAAAGCTGTATAGCTTGGTGGCACGAACTTCGGGCCCATACTGGAATGTCTGAGAAACCTGACTTCAAGAAGACGACGTTTTCCAACCACGAGGGCTTTGGGTTGACCCCGCAAGCATGTACAGTTGTCGGGCAGTTTTTTTCTGACTCTGCCTGAGCGAGGCCTGACTCTGGCATGCACACGAAGAGTCGCATTCGCTTGATTGAGCCATGACTTGCTTCTTAGCGGCGCATGTGGACCTTATTACGCCCTGTAAAATGATGTGGGGCTTGATGCAAAGTCCTTCCACACCGACCCAACTTTAACTCCCTTACCGAAGCGTCCTCGGGGCTTCAACCCCAATCCTCTCAACGCTGTCGCTGACTGTCTTTGAGCTCAAAGTTGAGAATCCGAACAAGCCCTCCTACTACTTTCCGTGGACAGGATCCCCCTCGTGCAGCCATGTCGCGGTTGTTCCGCTGCTTCATGGCACTTCGAATCGACTGGTGTGCGGCTGCGATGGCGCGACCGCCCTCCGCTTCCAGCACAAGGTGGAGCTTCCTGTACCACTCCTGTACCAAGCAGGAAACTGCCGAACATGGCCTGAGAGCCTGAGACTTCGCATACGTCTTGAGTGCATTCTCGATCGGGTGAGTTTCATCCGGCCGATATCTTCAGGCACGGCCGCACATCATCCGAAACAGGTGATGCAGCTCGAAGCCCTGTAAGCGGCCCAACAAGAAGAACCGGAGAGCACCGAATGTTGGCCCAGAGTGATTCATGCACACCCCAGTTGACTTGAATCAACAAACTGTTATCTCATCCGAAGGGAGTCTGAGCAAAAGAACAGCCCGCTCTCTCTCTTTCTCTCTGCACATGGCTGGCGGCCATGACTTGTGCTTGTGGGCCTTTGTTTGCACACTCTGCCGCCCTGCCTCATCCGGCAAAGCCAGGAATCGGCATGCCGGCTGAACCAAATGGATGTTTTCCTTTGGTGCAATGACTTTCAATTCTGGCTTGAAGCCATTGCTTCGATGACATTTAACAGACTTATCACTCACGACAAGAACTGTTACTGACCTACACCAATCTGAGCACCCGTCCCGAGAAATGATGAAGGCTTCGCCCTCCTTGCCATTGCTCGGGTAACCTGGGACGTACCTGCAAGCGCATCAATATTTAAAGTTCTCTTGTAGTTACAGACAGTCTTCCGAACTACTGTCAGACACTATGTGTGGACTGAGGTTTGAGTAGATGTTTCAACTTGAATAGTATACTTCTGTTGCGCCCACACCGATTCAAAGCTCAGAATTCAATTTTAACGTCGTGAATAAGTTGCGAAGCTTGCGAGCGCGTATGCACAAGCCCACACATGTGTGTGTGTACACGCCTGCACATGGCGACCATCGAAAAGACCACAACATTTACTGCAGGGGTACGGAGGGGGTGCAGGGGATCTCCGTCCAACGAAGCTCTCCCCTGCACCCCAGGTAAACTTTCAGGTAAACGTACCTGCTTTGCCTGCGCCTGGGCCCCGTCGTGGGCAGCTGGCGGGGCACTCACTTTCGGTCAGTTTTCATCTCATTTCGTGCTACGTCATTCTTTTGAGTCTGACGTAGCAAGGGGCCTAAACCTACCCCTGGCGGATCATCTCATCCCTTTTTCCGTTTTCGTATGCCATTCCTTCGGCCTGGCATACTTGGCAACAAAACTTTCANNGCAAGGGGCCGAAACCATACCCCTGATGGCGACGGATCATCTCATTGAGGTTTCTTTTGTATACCAGTCCTTCGTTCTGGCATACTTAGTACCAAAAAACCATCTCACCTTCGCTTTCACCATCATCAACAACATCATCTTGTTTCATGTCGGTCGCTCATCGCAGTAATTCGTGCCAAGCCAAAGTGTGTGTTTGTCTGAGAGTGTGTGTGTGTGTGCGTGTGTTTGCGTGTGGCATGGGTTGACTGCAGGTTGACTGGCAGGCGCTTGAGCAGATCCGCATTGATAATCAGCCCCAAGCCCCTGAGCACCAATTGTTGAGCACCAACTCCGCATACTCGGGTACTCCGTGAAAAGGACCTCAGCACCAGAGCTAAAGACTCTTCGCTGCCAACACAACAGCTCGGAGCCTCCTTGACAACCCACTTCAGTCTAGAAGAAGCTCGCTGCAGATTGTTGATCTAGGGTCGCGAGGCGGGCAGGCTTGCTTTCATGGTGGGGGCGTTTCTTGACAAAAACACCGGACTATACTCACAGCTAGCTGCAGGCCGACGTTTGCAGCTGCAAGCCTCATGCACTGCTCAGCTTACTTTGCAAGCGCGCTGCGATCAATGATTTCCGCGAATTGCCTCAGATCGACTGCGGAAGGGCGAGCTCATGCCTGAACCGACGACTTCATAATGTCCTTTACAGTGCGTGTGGCAACTGGCTGTGGAAAGCTGAGGTAGTAGGATGAGCTGCTTTGCCACATTTTCCAGCCAGTCATTCTCCAGCTCCTTCGGCGTAGTTTGGGAGATATCACGCTGTGGAGCTTCCGACAACGAAATTGAAGTGTGCTGCAAAATGTGGCATGACAGCTGGCCTGACCAGAAGGCAAATTCCAAATGCTACAAACCAACGTTGAACTCTATCGCGGAGGTGCTGTCTTTCTCATGTATGCCAGTCAAGGGGGCCGAAGTGGGAACATCTTGACTGACTCCAAGCCTGCCTTCGCGAGTGCAGCAGGACGTGGCGGCCCGGACGTGCTGGCAACAGCATCCACCTGAACCCGGGCAAAATATCGTTTCCTTATGTCGGTGCCGAGAAGCCAACAAAAAAACGTGCAATGAGCTGCCAAGACACCACGACTTTGGGGTCGGAGTGCGCTTTCATGCTCCGGTATGCGCAAGCGACGTGGCAGAGCAGCAGCCACGCATGCTCCAAGTCTGCAATGCTCAAGCTCTCCTCACAGCTTCAAGTTTTCAGGAACTTGCGTAAAAACAGTAGTTATTCCGTCCTCACAGCCGGAGAGCGCAAAGGATCGACATGTTAGATGCATCTGGACATGGCAGCATTCACCCAGTTGCACGTTTTTGCAAAGGCTCTGCCGGGGGCCCAGTCGAGGAAGGCGCCACAAGGCTTTCCTCGGGCTCTGGCTCTGCTACCCCAGTGGCCCTGTGATCACAAGGCCTCTCATGAACTCTTATACCGACGTCTATTATGAGACTTGCACAGGCATTTGTGTGCTAGTATGTGCTTGTGCATGGACACGAGTCCTCCTCAACAGGCCTGCAGACACCCATTCTCATTTCGATCCCAAGTCGTGCGTCCATACAAGAAAAACCGGAGCAGAAGGCCTATAGTCCTGCAGCCTAAAGCGCTATTCGAGATACAGAATCGCAGCCAAGGTGCGAGCTCTTCCTGGCGAGCGTCGCACCTCGCCTCAAGGCCCCGACTAATCCCGGTACCGGCACGAGATAGTGCGGATGAATTTTATTGAGCGCGCTCTTCGAGCGGAGAGTCTCGTACACTCCGCCCTCATGCGTCCGTCACGCCAGGTTCAGGAACGAGAGCTTAGAAGCTTGTGTCAAACTGCTACTACTTCGAAACGCTGGCACTTAGTTCTAACCAAATTAACCAAATACTATTAGCTCAAAGTTGCGACAAAGGGATGGATGAACGACTGCTCGCCGGCTTCCTCATGACATGAGAAACAATGCCTCAGCTTGCAGAAAGTGCACGACACACACACACACACACACACACAAATCAGGTCAGCGACAGGAACCTAGAGTGCAGTGTTCCTAAAGCTTTACAGCATCCCACAGCTATACGGCCATGTCTGTTAAGACTTTTGGTGCAAAGATACGTAGGGATACTGGCAGCCAGATGGGCCAAAGCCTGAGCAGGGAAACAAAAACGCAATTGCACACCATTTGGACCCTGCCTCTGTCACTTGTCTTTGGTCATAAACTGGACTACAGTGAGGTCCGGAATCAGAAACCCTTTGGACGGAGGCAAATCTTCCGGCATCATTACGGTTGGGTGATTTCGATGTGCAGCATTCATCCGTCGCCCTTTCTGCATTGGCCGCAAAAGTGGAGTACACTACACGTGTCTGCGAAGAAAAAAGGTGTCGGTGCTTGCACAAACGAGCAACGAGGACGAGATAGGACGAGCTTTTACCCTCGATTAGCTACTAATTACTAGGTGCGACTCATGCATCTCTCCGGCTTCTGTCGCAGTCACGAAAACAGCAGATGCGTTTGCTCCGTTGTTCCTCGCCTGCCCTACCTACACGCTGTAGCCCCACACGCCAGCAAACGCCCAATGAGCCTGGCATCCAGGGTGGGGCGCCTTGAAACCCGAGCACCAGCCGTTCAGGGCGCCCAAGCCTGGGCTGAGGGCTCTTCTTTTAATTGGAAGAGACCTCTTCCAATCTGCGTGCAGGTCCGGGAGTAGAGTATGACAGCGCTTCGGCTTGCTCAGTGATGCGGGGGTTCCCGTCGGAAAAAGTGGACCAAAATTCAATCCAAGCATAACCTGTGGACTGTGGACCGTCTGCCAATGTGCGGGCATGCACAGGCGGAGCCTTTCGCAAAGCACTGTATGTAGTGCCGAGCAGCGATGCGTCACAAAGCCGTTCGGCCCAGCTGCATCCCACAGACCATCCACCTGAGCGCACGGCCAGATAGCCCCTCTGCGCGCGTGCCAAGCTGCAATAACAAGTACACTGCTTCAGCACCAGGGCCTCACTGAGAGGCGGAATACTTGCCAGGTCCTTCCTCTCCTTGTCGACATGCGCCTGAACAGCCTGGCGGTCAGTGGCACTTAAAATTTAGACTTGCAGTGCGACAGGCAATTGCTGGAAACCTGTTTTTGCTTGTGCCGGCTTGTGCCTGACCGTCAAAAATACTGCGAGATTGCACAGGCTGGACGACAAGAGCGCAATCGGTCGATAATGACGTCGGCAGCTTGCATGCACGATGCATTACGATTTTAAGCTGTTGTGCTGTTACGGACTGCCACCTGAAGCTCCGGCGTGCGCTGCAGAACGTCATGCTTCCTTAGCTCAAGCTGCGCACGCATTCGGCATTGGATGGCTCCACACAGCCAAATCTTCCTGGACCCAGTCATGGCACCAGCGCCGATTTCCTCATGGAATGCCCCTACTACATCGCTCTTGTTAGACATCGAAGTTTCGACCACAATGGAATTCGGGCCATCTGGGAGTCCGTGATGTGCTGCTGCAGGTAGTCGAAAGTCGTCCCTCCTGTGCCAGTGAGGTCCGAATAGCTCTAAACATCTGCTGAAGCTGCTTCAGTGCTCCTGTTCCAACGACGGGCTGTTGCGGCGCGCTGGGGCTGCCTCAGTGCATGGATGAGTCTGCGGTTTGGAGAAAAGGCAGGAGCATGTTTACCATAATCGCTGGCATGATGACAGGCTGGACGTCCATCTTCGATGCAATAAAAGTGTGTCCCGACAGCTGGCCTGCTAGCCTCATCTGATCAGACATCGAACAACTTCGTCATGAATAATCATCATCGCCGTCGTCGGAAGTGTAGGAACGAAGAACTATCAATCGCAGCCGTGCTGTCATCGCCCTCTTGGCACTATTTCAAGAAAGACGACGAGTACTACTCAGCCTGATAAGCAGCAGTGAGGCTGGCAGTGCTCACCATGTCAAGCACTCAAGCCCAAATGCACCCACAAATCCAACACACACACCATACCATACCATACCATACCATACCATACCATACCATACCACACCACACCACACCACACCACACCACACCACACCACACCACACCACACCACACCACACCACACCACACCACACCACACCACACC